GTTCACTGTAATATACTGTATTGTAATTTAATTTACTGTACTGAACTTTATTGTTATGTACTGTACTGTACTGCAATGCACTAAACGTATTGATTGCTTTAATCTGTACAGACTGTACTGCAATGTACTGCAATGAATGAAATAACATAGTTCAAAAAGGTTCACAGTCCCAGATTTGGATTGCAATTTGAATATCAATCCAAGAGAATTGTCTATCACAATATCTTTTCGTTTGCTCTCGACATTGATGTTCAATTCTGAACGGTAAAAGCAAGGTACTTATGCAAGGCAAGTTAATTGTGTATACTCTGCGTACATATTGAAACCAATTCTCTCTGGGCGGGATTCGTAAACAAGAATAGATGCATCAGTGTTCGTCTGGTATCCGAGGAAGTTAAAAGCATTTAATGTTGAAAATACACATAATAGTTGTCTATGACCAGAAAATTTCATTGACTTTTTATGTGAAAGATGGATCCCATGTCAGGCTTCGACATCCGTCTTGTGTTTACATTTCTGCCCAAAGACAGTACACTGCATTAATAAAAATGCGTACACCTCTGAAATAACTTTCCTTGCATTAGTACCTTGGGTAAAAGTAAAACAACTGTCTAAGTGATTTTAAAGGGAACAAAGCAAACTGCGTATTTTAAGTGTGTTCTGTACTCTACTGAACTATTCTTTGTGTTAACTCTTGACTAACATTACATCTCAAAATAAACTTCTTTATTCGGAGTATCATAATTTTACCATTTTATTAACTTCCTTGTAAAGTATAGTTGTAAATGAATATATTTTTATCAACTCTCTCCGAGCTTTTATAAACTACAAATAAGTTCAAATTTGTTTTACTTTTTGATTTGTTTTGTTGAAAGAAAGTTAGTTGACAGTTTCATATTTTAATCAATATCGGAAGCACATTATAAAACTAATTTGACTTGATGTTGAACTTTATAATACAAAGTTGATATTTAAGTGTCAATATTTGATATTTGATCTGGACTGGCTCTCAGTTGTTCTGTACAGAGTACACTCCATAAGTAAACTTGACGGAACGGTTGGCATGTCAGATTTACAACAGTACCATTTAAATCTTTGTTTGATCCAAGGTTCTAATGCAAGGAAAGTTATTTCAGAGGTGTAAGCATTTTTTGTACTGCAGTGTACTAACTTTGGGCGGAAAAATAAATACAAGACGGATGTCACAGCCTGACATGGGATCAATTTTTATAAAAATAATCTATGAAATATTCTGGTCATAGGAATCAAAATTAAATGCTTTTAACCTCCTCGGATACCAGACGAACACTGATGCATCTATTCTTGTTTACAAATTCCGCCCAGAGCGAACTGGTTTTAGTATGGTCTGATCTAGGTGAAATGAGATATAACTGATTTGATAAATTTCCACGCGAGCTTTAATTATGACTTACAATTTTTATTCAGCAGAATCAGAGGCAATTATTTACAATGATAACCATAAATCTCTGGAATGGGAAGACGACTTTTAGATTCAAATTCGGATTTTCAATAATCCATTTTGCATGAGACACAGCAGTTGTGAAGTGTAAACAGACCCATTTTAGTTAATAAGTGATTGTAGCGACGATATAAAACCAAAATAAACGAACTGTGTTTAAATATTGAGATCTAAATTACAACATACGTTTTAAAACGCCCATAAATATATTTGGTTTGACTTTGATTACGAGAGCTTCCGGACTGGAAGACGATATTAATCGATCTACACATGATTTTGTAAGTTGCTAGTAAAACTATATGCTTTGTAACACCATAAATAAAACGTTATTATGCCTAGTTGTTGTCTTCCTATTTCACATTTTTCTGGTTCTCACTGCACATTTTTATAATTCAATATTTATAAACTTAGAAACGATGGTGAATCTCCCTCATTTTTGCTTTTCTTTAAAGAGTACCGTAGCTCGTACATAGCACCATTTTTTAATTAAATGGATCAGTGCCACTTGAAATTACTCCAACAGTCGCTTTAACCCTATTCCTCAAAAAGTATTGGTCTGAGGCTGTTGAAATTTTCTGACTTTTCCTACATACCCAAAACCCTCCCTTTAGGCCTAAAACCGGGCTTTAATACTAACTGCCTGATTCCTCAGACACACTGCCTGAATGACTGCTTTTTCCTGTAACAAACTAAATCTTTTTGACCCACTTCCACTTGTCAAATTTTGATAAAATTTAGCTTTTTGGAAAGCCTTTGACATAAGGAAACGAATTGCACAAGTTTTGCGAAAAAAATTGCAAATTTTTTGCAAACAATCTGTCAAAGGAAATTTGCACATTTTTAGTTTTTCTTGATTAAAAATAAGGTTATTTAAAATTTCGCAAAAATTTTTGCATATTTGAAATGGCATGATCGAGGGATTTTCAAAAATGTATAATTTTTCATTTTTTGGACACATTTTTTTTGCAAAGATTTTTACTATATAACTGGATTTAGCGAAAAAAAATTTTATTTTTGCAAATTTGCAAATTGTTTTGCAGATTCTAAAAGTAGAGCACAAGAGCTTTCCAATGATGTATCATTTGTCATATTTGGACATCAAACATGCGATTTAGAGGGGGGGGTCAAATTGACCCCCCCCCCAGCATATCCTGGTTTTCAAGTACCCCAGTGGAAATAGGGTTAAATAACTCATACAAAGAAAGAAAAAGAATGAAAGAAAGAAATAAAATGGGACAGAAAGAAATAAAATGACTTTGTTGAGTGCATTTCAATTCATTCATTCATTTGAAAAGCCCTGATATGCTATTTTGAATATGAAATTTTAATACTATTTCTAATTAGGGATAACAAAGTGAATTATAGTTATAGTCATTATAGTTTGATAAATCATGTATTGTTAGGTTTCATATTATGTATTATGCTTGTTTGACATCATTTATTAACATATCATTCCTTTTTTTAAATCAAAAGTACACGCGATATTTAAAAATAAAAAAACGTAACATGTGACATCTTTGCTTGCAAAACCAATGGAAGAAATTGGTTAAACAATCAAGGCAAAAAAACGACAACATATGGGTCATCACTTGGTTTTTGGGGTATCGTTGTGAATGGTCCATGTTTACTCAATTTATATTTTGAAACCAAGCTTAGAACACTTCCTTGGCTGTTTCGGCTTCCCTACCAAAATTTGAGGTAAATCGGTTAGGTGGCTCTTGAGATATTATCGGAAATACAAACAGACAGAGATTACTACTGCATCTATATACATAAATATAAAGTAGTAATCTCGGTTTGTGAACTCGGTAGAATAGGAATGTTTTTACTCTGGTTTAAAAGTTCTAAGTTGATTTTTATAGGGAAAACTTCGTTTCGGGCAAAGCTGTGTTTCCATGCTTGTTATAATTTGTAGAAAAGTTGGAGTTTTTACTTTATTGTTTTATCTTTACTATAGGTATCCCCCGATGTTTCCCTTCCAGAGTTCTTTGTGGTTGGATATCGTCAGCGAAGGAAAACTTTTATTATTTTATCATTTTTCTTTTTTATTCTACTTTTAGAAAAAAATTAGAAAAAACGAAAAATTTATTGAATTTAGTTAAAACACCTTGATTGACAAATAAATTTTTTTTTTTTTTTTTTTTAACAAAATAAATAATTAAGTTCAGTTTTAACAGATTAAAGTTAAAAACATTTGATTTGGAGTAATACTGAACTCAGTTGAACAATGAGAAAAATCAATCAAATATTTAATCATGATTTTTCAAGGGATTTAAAAAATGCCATGTACGATTTCTAATCGCTTCAATATAAATAACTTTTAAACAGAACCAAGAATTTAAAAAAATGTATTCCTCCATGATCAAACACATCGTGTAACAATATGAATCAGACATGCCACTCTGTCATTGGTGGATCAATTAAAATAACAACTCCAGTTCTCTTTAAGATAAAACAGTTTTGAAATTTTTAAATTAAATCCTTCTTGTTCTTCCCAAAGCTAAAAGTAAATTGGTAAGAGTGCTGGAAAAACTGTCTTCTGGAAACTATTCTCGTCTCTGTTCAGATATTCTTTTTACAAGATCTATGGGATACTATATCATACAGGTTATACAGTATATAACAATAATAAAATGTTTGGTAGTAACATTAGTATTAACATTGGTAGTATCATTGGTATTATCATTGGTATTATCATTGATATTTAACATTGGTATTATTATTGGTATTAACATTGCTATTATCACTGGTATTATCATTGCTATTATCATTGGTATTAACATTTGTATTATCATTGGTATTATCATTAGAAGTATCATTGGTATTAACAGTGGTATTATCATTAGTATTATCATTGGTATTATCTTTGGTGTTATCATTAGTATTATGATTGGTACTATGATTGGTTTTATCACTGGTATTAACATTGGTATTATCATTGGTATTGTCATTGGTATTGTAATTGGCATTAAAATTGGTATTGCCATTGGTATTATAATTGGCATTAAAATTGGTATTATTATTGGTATGTTCATTGGTATGTTCATTGGTATTATCATTGGTATTATCATTGGTATTATCATTGGTATTATCATTGGTATTATTATTGGTATGTTCATTGGTATTAACATTGGTATTATCTTTGGTATTATCATTGGTATTATCATTGGTATTATCATTGGTATTATCATTGGTATTGTCATTGGTATTATCATTGGTATTATCATTGGTATTGCCATTGGTATTATCATTTGTATTATCATTGGTATTATCATTGGTATTATCATTGGTATTGTCATTGGTATTATCATTTGTATTATCATTGGTATTATCATTGGTATTATCATTGGTATTGTCATTGATATTGTCATTGGTATTATCATTTGTATTATCATTGGTATCATCATTGGTATTATCATTGGTATTTTCATTAGTACTATCTTTAGTATAATTGTTGTTATTTTCTGTATCATTATTATTTTCATTTTTTTCCATTGCTATCATCATTATCATTGTTATTATGATTACTCAGGTAGAGAACATGAAGGAGGAGTATAGAAAGCAGAGGGAAGCTGAAGAGCAGCTGCTGAAGGTTGAGGATGATGATGATGAGGATGAGGTGGGTGAGGAGGGAGACAGGGATGTATCCTGGGATCTTCACTCAGAGTTCTGCCCACACAAGGTTACAAGATTTTAGTGTTTAGTACTTTAGTAGAGTACCATGTAAGTATATGTGAATTAAACTAGTTTTTGAATATTATTGTACGAGACCTGCTCTGCAACCATAACAACATTACATATTTAAGTTAAATTAAAAACAAAACGATGGTTAAAAAGGTTAGTTTCAATGCAAAAATGTCTATTGTATAATATTGTATAATCCAGAAAACACTTTATGACTTTCAGTAGTCCAATAAAAAGCGGACACTGCAATTGTGCAGTGTAAATACAATGATTTCCCTTTAGAACTGACTTAATAAGTTTCTGGTAAAACTATTTGCGTTGTATCAACATCTAATGCACTTTAATGTTGTCTTCTTATTCCATAGTTTTCAGGTTCTCACCGTACATTTTGTTATAGCTCGAGCATGAGAATAAACGACGGAGTGACACGTTCACCCGTCGACCCAACTACTTAAACATACCTGGAGCTGCGATAAGTCGACCCTCCCTGATTCCTTTACCTTCCATCAGTCTGGATATAATCACACCACCAACAACACTATTTGGTTTCAGAGCTAGTGACATAGAGAGGGGAGCAAGGTATACACCACAATATCTGGAATTTTTAAATGGAGTGTTCGCGAAAAATTAAGGGGGTATAGGCTTACGGTGAAAAATAAGCGCTTTTGATCACTACTAATCTTACTACTATCTGTTTGAGTGTTGCGTCTATCAGGAGAAAATTGTTAAAAACGACTCATAACGAAGAACGTAGCGTCCATACAAATTCAGAAAGTTGCAACATTCAACTAGGATCGTAATACAATTTAATTCCAAACAAATCATTCAGATTGCATGAATTGGGGCTAAAGTTTGAAGATTATATCCAATACCATATAGTACGCTTTGTATCCTTTAACCCTTGAGAAATCTTAGTGTATTTTAACAACAAAAACGACCAAATTCTTAGCCCAGATTTGTCAAATTTTGTTAAGAAATAATGAAATCCAGTTTTAAAGAATAATTCATTTTGATTTTCGAAGTTTTTCAATGCTTCTTTAAAATGTTTAGAAACATATTTTTTTCTTTTAATATATTTATATTTTTTTTTTTCAGAGTAATGTTCCCAATTGTGTTTGTTACTTTTCATATATTCTACTGGGCAGTGCTGGTGACTATAAGCAGAATAAACTTTGATGATATCATTCCACTTTCTACAGAGTGAACAATGTACTCATTCATCAGATGTCAACATTTTTGTATCTTAGATTTGTTCTTAAATGCGCTCAATTTGTTCACCTCCCCCAGAGCCGAAAATTTAAGAGAGCATCCAATCTAGTATGTCAAGTCCATTAGCGCCTGATCCAATCAGCCATGTATTTGGTGTCTATTCTGAATAAATAGAAATTGCATGGCGGTAATGTCTATCTTTCTATCTATCTCATTATCCAATTAGAGATAAATCCTTATATCGGCGCTATAACAGTAAATGGAAATATTTACTTCTTCTGAAACTATGGTGTATCGTTGAATGAAACTCCAGAGTTTCCGCTTTTGGTTTATCTAAACATTTGTGAAGATATTAATGTAAGAATTAAAAAATGATAAGACTACACTCGTAAGAAAAAATATTTCAAACAAAAAAATTGATATCGACGAAATTGACAGAACCCATTCACGAAACCCGGGTTATGACACTGGGTTTTATGACAATACCCTGTATTGAATTTCGGGCTCAGGCAGTTTAACTTTTTTTTAATTTCATAACGATCTTATGAATTTTCATGGATGTTTAGTAAACTTCAGTTTAAAAATTTTACAGAGTCGATTGTGGATATCAGTGGATATCGATATTTGCGATATTCCATTAAAATATTTGGCCTTACGGTTGTTTTTATTCAATGATTTGGTTCAATGGATATTTTTACGTTTGGGGATATATTTATCAGAATATTTGTTCCTTCACCCCATTAGATTAAGAAGACTTTATTCTTTGGGAAATAAATTCAATATTTTCATTACAAGATGGATTCTTCAGAGGCCTTAACAATTTTTTAATTTGGAACAGATTTTTTATTATTTTAAACCTTACATTTCAAGTGCGTAATGCCATCAGAATATTAGTAATTAAATCGTTTAAGGTTCTGTAAGTAGTGTCTTTGCACCCCCCTAAACATAATAATTAAAGGACAATATCAAAGTGACTGTAAAGGAAAAATGAAAGGGGGTATAGGCTGAAACCTGAGAATCTCATGAGTTGAACGATACCTATAAGACATCTATCTGGTGTTCGTATCTCGAGAAATTGTCATAAAACTGTGTCAAAATTATACCAAAACGTGACCAGAACTCCCTCCAATGGCAGTGCAGTATACTGGTCACATGATACAGACAGAGAAACGTGACAATAATACTGCACTGCCACTGGTTGGAGTTATGGTAACATCCATGTTCCGTACGCATAAACAATATTATCAATTATGTCTATTAAAAATGAAAAATTATTAAATTCAAATAATAGGAGTAAACTTGAGTTTCTCAGGCTTCTAGCTCTGTGATATCGCTGTTTTCAGATTGGTTGAGTATTTGTTGAATATGATCTGTTTAATACTACGAATCTCATACAAAATCTTACATATATACGTGTTTTGGTATAATTTTGACACAGTTTTATATCAATTTCTCGAGACAGGAACATCGGATAGAACTCTTATATGTCTCAATCAACTCCTGAGATTCTCAGATTTCAGCCTATACCCCCTTTCATTTTTCCTTTACAGTCCCTTTAAGTTTGTTAATATCTTTGATATGTATTTGATGTCAAAAGGATTTTAGTCTTTGTCAAAATACAAACTCAAATTTTCTAATCCCTTCGTCTTTGCAAGCCAATGTCGTAGACCTATGATATTTCAAATTCTGAAATATCAAAGAATAACATCATCAGGATAAAAAGATGCAGGGGTGGGACAATTTGAGATTGTAGCAAAAATCCTAATCAACGTTTAGAAAATAGGTTTTTGGAAACCCCATGACGTTTTTGCTGGATAAGCTACTTTGTTACCCATATCTCAAATGCTATATATTATATAAAAAGATCTTTATATAAACTAAACTAAACTAAACTCAAATGCTATATATTATATAAAAAGATCTTTATATAAACTAAACTAAACTAAACTAAAAATCTGATGTGCGATTTATCAAAGACTTTGCTAATTAGCAAAGTCTTTGCGATTTATCACTAATACATGCTATCACTTTAGTCTTTTGTAAAAAAGAGCGACATTTTTCTTAAAGCTTTTCGTGATTGATTTTCTTGTAAAAATTATACAATTGTTTGTGCATTTATCATTTATCTATGTAAGACGTTAATATAATTCTAAAATTGTGCGCAATTGCAATGTCGTATTTTTTCTTCACAATTTTTAACTACGTTATACTTGTATCGAAGTATCTTTAATTCGATAGATACGTCCCTTGCTTTTCCCCTCTTCCTCTCCTAAAATATTGTACTATTAAGTGTATGATGCAAAGAAAATGAGTTTAAAATATCAAAGGTTTACACAATCAGGTTTAAAAGATGTTGAGACTAAAAAACAAGTTTGTTGCAAAAATTCAGTTTCTTTGCAAAAGCCCTACCTTTTTTGCGAAATCTAAAAAAGCAGAACTTTGTGCGAAAAATCTGTCAATAGCCTGCAGATTATAATAAATGACCACTCACTTTTACATGTAAGTAAACCGTCATATTTATGATAAATTATCAAACTTCAGGGGACATTAGTTTCAAACCGGGTTTATATGATCGGTTAGAAACAAATGTCTCCTAAATGTATCTTTCTGAAATTGTAACACTTCAATTGTATTCGCTCAACCTCAGAACTATAAATTGCTCAAAACCTTAATTCAGTTCTGTAAATTCTTTAAACAATTAGTTTAAGCAACTTTTTAAAATGTAGTTTCGTAAAAAATTTAAGACACAGAAATAAAAATTAATAAATTTAGTTGTTCTGAACAGATGATAAGAGAAACTGAAAAGATGATAAAACCCCATTTACAAATTTACCCATCAATGAAGAATTTACATCTTATTTTATTCTTCAAAAGAACCGTGTTTTTGAGACAAACTCAAATCTTCTAATTATACCTAGCTGACTATTTTGCAATTCCTGATAGTGTAATTATTTTTTTTACAAAATTAGGTGTTCAAGAACAAAAGTCTTTTTCGCATGAGAATTCATTGAAATCTTCAAATCGTTCTTTATCATAAAGGTCATAAAAGTCTATTTCTTTTTGGGCAATATTTTTTTTTTATAAGGCGCTGGTAGAAAAGTTCAGAGAAAACAAAATAGTTTTATTTTTTTTTGTATTTTTAACTTTACTAGATAAAACTCAATTTTAACATTTTGACATTGATGCTCGGAAAAATCTTTGTGGCCCAGAAATACAATTCTTTACTTGTAACTTTGATTTTTTTCCTGAATACAGGGTTTCCCACAAAGAATGAGACTTCAGAGACGACTGTACATAATGTATACTGTCTATTTCCTTAGAATTAAGATTCTCTGAAAATTTAAACTGGTGTCATTGCCATGTAAAAAAATATGAAATTATAATGCAATATTCAAGGCAAAAAACTTAATTTAACCTTGTAATTGTCATATTTTAGGTTATCTATACAGTCTCATCCTTTGTGGGTATTCCGGTATGTACGTATATCATTTATATCCTAGACTTACATATAGTATAATATTATTACAAAAGTAATTCGAAAGCTTAATTCTATACTGTGCTAATATCTTCTGAAATGGGTAAGATTTTAAAAGCTTTTATGTTATACAAATTATTCATAAAGCAAGAAGTTTTTTAAGTTTTTTAATTTCAAAACTTTTAAACTTTATAGTTTCCTATAATCAAACTGCAGTTCTTTCAATGTATAAAACATGTGTATTAACCCTATCCCTATTGGGCTATTTTTGTTTCATATAAATCCGGGGAGGTGTTTTTAACTCACCCCACCCCCTCCTATGATTTTGCCCTTAGAGTTGAGATAGGGAAGTGTGATACATGTCCCAGTCCCTTGTCCAACTTTTCAAGGCCTGCTCTTTAAAAAAAATTTGATGGTTAGGGTTCTAGGGAGGACTTTAAAAAACTATAATAAGTTCGTTGGAAAATGTTCAAAAATAATTTTTAAATTTTGACAAATATTAACATGAAGCACACATGTTATTATATCCATTTTTCCTTGTAGTTTAATCAATAAAAAAATGATTTTTAAACACCAACCCGCCGTTTGATTGTCCTCCACTCTACCCTATGCATAATAAAAAAAAAATTGGCAAAATTTATTTACAACTAATGATGTTGAAAAAGTAAAGAAGTTTTAGAGTTGTTCAGAAAAAAACAAAGATAATGCTAAACATCATAATATCATTAAATACGTGTACCGCGTTAAAATAAAATAGAATTTACGTAAGATTAAACTATTGAATTTTTCAATACTGATTCCTGTTATTTTTGAGAAGAAACAAAGTGTTTTGAATTTCTAGTATGTTACCGGCTAAATCAGCTGTTTTCAACAGAAATTGAGTCTTTGCCACAATTATAATGTATGCTCAACGTATATCAAAGATGTTCACCATCAGGTTGCAAAGATAAAAGGATTAGAAAATGTGAGTGTGGCAAAGACTCAATTTTTTTCTGTCGAAAATAAGAATTAGAGGAGCTACGAGGTCCCAAAGTCCTGTCAGAAATGTCGCATAAATTTTACATTTCTATTGTGCAGTGGTAGAATGCCAAGTCTTTTAGATATTAATTTAATTGTGCGTTTTCAATATTTGAAAACGTAATTTTGCGCTATTATATCTAATCTGAACAAAGTCCGAATTTAATGAATTTAAGCCGCCTCTCAAATCCCCCCAAAACTGATTTCAATTGAGCTTTAATTTTGAAACACTGAATACGATTTTTAGTGTAACCAACCATATTTGAGTCGCGGCCTGAATTTAAGCCGCGGCTCAAATGCGGCCTCAAGTTTCTTAAAATGTACTGACAAAAAAAAACGTTATTTTTCAAATCACGAATCTTTATAGTTATACTAAAAATGGCTTGGACAATGCACATGGTAAACTTTTAAGCAGCTCCTCATTCCACACTTTAGGCACGTCAAACTTAACTAACTTGATTTAAGAACGAAATGTTCAATGTTTTAATCACATTTCCACTTATCAAAGAGCCATGAGAAAAATATGTTTTGAATTTCTAATGCGTTACTGAATAAATACGTTTGTATTCAATACTAAAGAGGAGCTAAGAGGTCACAAAGTCGTAAAAGTAATGTGGTATTAATTTAACTTTTCCTTCTTTTTAGTTTAAAGCTTGAGGAGATAGCATTCCAAATAAAAATAATTATATGTACCC